TCAAAGAGTGGGAATAACAATCTGTGCGGGTGAACATATTGTGCCAGTCCAGGTTAGAAAGCAGGCCATTAACGCTAACGAAGGAGGCGCAATATTCGATCAAAGTAGAACTCAGACGAGGATGGGGGATCCCGGAGGATGGGTAAGTACACAGCCAAATCTGCGCAGAGAGCGGCAAACGGGAGGACAAGGAAATGTCGAGCTGGTCGTCGGAGGCAGATGGGAATGGGCAAGACAGGAATTGAGCAACTTTGATTCAGAACCTACTTGTCGTGCACACGGATGGCGTATGAACGAGAAAGTACACTGCTCACGCGGCCTGCCAACCTCAGATGAAAGCACAATTAAGGACTGAATAAGAAGGACAAATGGAGCTATTCAATCAATAGCAGTATTGTCAGCACCAACATTTGCACTATGAAACCACGAAGCCCAACAGGGGACTCCAGTTTGGGTGGTGAAAAACGAGTAGGAGGGGACAAATACATGCACACCCAGCAACAGCACGCAACCATGGCGAAAATCTAAACTGTACAGGCAGCCGCGGAGCGTGTGAGCGAAGGTGTAACGGTCAGGAGAGAAGATTCTTAAGGCGACAATCTCGAAGCACAGGGGCGTGCAAATATGTAACGTGTGGGTAAGAAACCCATGCCTGAGGGAAATTCTGCTGTGGTACGACGATTCAAAGACTGGAAATACGCTAGGCACGCACGCAAACAGTCCAGGCCAATTTAACCAGTACTATGGATGCTTGGAGTAGGACTTGGTGTGCCAGCTAGAATGCGGTTGAGTGGTGGGGAGGGGGAAGGGAAGAGTAACGAAACGTTCGAATCTGGTGGGGATAAAAGGGCGGTTGGAAGTTGGTCTGCCGTGAGAGGAAGGAGGGGGCTCAGCGGCAGAAGAATGACTGAATACACACACACACACAGAGATCCTATGCGCAGGATGTCCACTGCTATGCTTAGACTTCCTGATCTCATCGTTCACCGCCGTTTTGAGCCTGAAGTGGAACCTGAGGACAGTAATGTGCGTCCGGGTGCTGGGGGTAGAGCCGCTGAGGTCGGTTGACTTGGCGCGTGAGTCTTCGATCACAGCTCGGCCAACCATCGAAGGCCTTATATGTGTAGTTGATAAAGGCAAGCTCAGGCTTGTAGGATTTGCTTGAATCGGTGACATTCGCTGTGTGAGAAAGTAAAAGGTCTGTGTGAGAAACCACAAAACATATAAGACGGGGAGAAATTAAAAACTGAGGATCATCAACCACTTTGCTCGTAAATTTGGCCGGATGACCCCGTGGTTTGGGCAGACACAAAGACGTCTAGCGGAATTTAGACAAAGCCAGAGGTTGATAAACAGGCCAGGGGTTCATGAACAGACCGAAGTAAATCTCACTCGTTATGTTGAACCTTTGCCACTGGCTAAAAACCTGAAAACCGACCAACAACATGAGTGGCCGGCTGTAATGACACATTCTAAAAATAGTAATGATAAGTCTGAAAGCTCAGACTAATGAAACTGCTGTTTCAGTGGTCGAAACTTTCTTCTTAGGGCATAGATGGGTTTGTATGAAACACTGAGGCACAAGTACGTCCGACCATTGATTTGCTGCACGGAATAATGGGATAGAAGCCTCGCCTTCATCAGAGTATCAGCGGCACCTTATTTGTGTGATGCTGAAGTGTTGCTTATTTGTGAAAGGTGGTTTCTCTATGAGAGACAGCGATGGTGAAGATTATATGGAGGGTTTTGTCTCTTTTTTGCAGAAGTCCGACGGTTTCGACACTGTCCAGTGGCATACGTTGTTATTTTAAGGCTTTCCGGCATGTATTCCAGTTTTGCAATTTCAGCTCAAATATTCGTACCAACCTTCGAACCGAGTCCAAAAGGGTCCATCAAGAAGGACTTAGTCCATGTTAGCGCATTTCTTTCGGAGGGGACTAAAACGTCGAATGTCATAACATGCCAGACAGTTTCTGACGTCAATCACTTTTAAGGGTGCGCGGAAGCAAATTCATGAGTCTTGCGTCACCGTGTTTGTCTGTTTACGTGTGTCTGTACCCTGTGCACCTAAAACGGGCCACGTAGTAGATGCGCTGGACCAAAACAGGGACTAGATCGGGGTCCCGCTGGCGTTGCCAGGAATGCGCACCCATAACAAATGCCAACATTGGGGGTGTGGTGACGCGCCTGGTTGCAGGCTCATACCGTGCCAGTCGGGGTCCGAGCCGACCCTCCTTTTTTTCTTGTTTTGCAAAACTCTGGTCAGTGTCCGTTGTGGACCAGGGGATGCGGTGGTACGCCTAGGTGCGGGTTTTGCCGTGCCAGACACCTCTCTCACCTCCGATCTTCTTGACTCTGTCTCGACACCGGACCCAGGTGGGGGAGGAGGAGAGTGCGGCAGATGCTGCGCAAGTTTACTATCACGGGTTGTGGAAATCTGTCAGCCACTGCGCTTAATCCCGTTAACGGCTGGCTGACAGGTTTGAACAGTAGACCGCTACATGAAAGAAGGAAGATACTGTGAGGTGGAGACATGGAACCCCCTCCACACGGCACGTCGGCGCATTTCTCACTTTAGCCATTATAACGCTCTTGAAACAATCACGACTCGCCAAGCGTTGTGGCTAAGGAGGTTTCCAACTGACAGAGTAACTCAATCCCTGTGACCCATAGATATATGAGGCAACTGACTGGCGGACCGAGAGGTAGGCGTAATGGCCTATATGGCACTCCCACTCAGATGGCGTCTGAGCCGCTCCCTGTTGGTGTGAAGCCTGGTGCACTGTGTGGGGACCAGTTCATGTGGGGCACTCGCAGACGGTCTGCCTAGCCTTCTCAGCCACTGACTCCAAGATCGCTCCTGGTTATCCTGTCCTAGTCATGACACCGGACTCAGGGGAACGGAGGAGAGAGTGCGACAGATGATGTGCAAGTTTACTATCACCATAAATTAATTCGTGCGCAAGTCACCGTCTCTGCCCTCGTCCTGCTGTGGAGAACACGGCTGACATCGTCGGTAACGACGGTCGAACTGTCTTGTCTGTGACCACGTAGCAGTCAGGTAAGCGCGACTGGGGACGTTTGTAGGGAATAAAACAACAAGAAGGTCCTTTCGGCAACAGCAGGGTGAAGAACCCCACTCAACTCTCGGTAGACTGCGGATCGTGTAGAGTACGGGAATGGTGGTAATGAGGGTTTTACGGGTGGGGCAGCACGCTAGACAGTAAACTGACAAAATGCAAGAAAACAGAAATTATTCGGGGTTCGGCTGAAAGTCTTGTCGTAGTCTTTCTTATGACAACGGAAATGATCGCGTAAATAAAACAAAAAGCATATTTTAAAAAAACGGAGTTCGAGTCATGGAAAGTAACTGCTGTTAGCGGTGTAATGTCTGCAACGGCCTGCGATTGGATGCCAAGATGAAACCCCACATGAAACGATCCACAGTTAAGTGAGGTCCTTCATCCTATCGTTGCTGATTCTTCCTCTTAAATTTGCCAGTACTCTAGTTTTATACCACGTGCCTTCTAACGCTGCAACTGTCTAACAGTTAGTCCCAGGGTGAAAATGGTGCTGGGTCATGCGCCGAATGACAAAACTGCAGGCTGCCTTCCTGACAACTAGCCCTACGAAGAGTGGGCAGCAGTGCACTTACGCCAACTGAGGTCCTCATTGGGAAACTCGTCAAAGTTGCTCGTGTCGTCGATAGAACGTATCTGCACAGGTATCGCCGCCGGCCGCTCCCTAATGTTCTCCCAGTCCACGCCAGCGAAGAAGGGATGTTTACGAATCTCTTCTAAACCGCCGACGGCTCCCAGGCGTTTCTCGGCGTCCGTACAAAAGAGGGTAATGAGGTTATGCGCTGTTGCGCTGATTGGCACCTCGGGAGGGAAAATGAGGGTTTCCTGCCAGTTCATGACCTTCCTGTAGGTCTCATGGGCATCGGGAGAACAGAAGGGTGGGTAGCCTGAAAAAAAAGAGGATAGTGTGTTTGTATAAATGCTAGGTCCGAACTAGCCACGGCATAGGATTACAGGGTCCCAGGGTCTGGGCACAAACAAATGAGCATTTAAAGGGAATCTGCATAGACTTTAATCTTAGAGCAGGCAGGGCTTTTGGTTCCGCGGTAAAGTATTTAGCCTGGAGGTAATAAAACAATACATGAACTAATGGATATAGGCACAAACACTGCTACATCCCGAAGCGGTCCTAAAATTCCTTATCTGGCCGGTTTAAATTTACCGGATAATGTAACATTTTCTGAAAACGCGATCTTACGTAGTAAGGTCAACGATGTAAGTCCAAAACCCGAGGTTAGAGGAGGAAACGGCGACAATTTTGCCATTATCCGTTCTTGAGCCCCAACTGGTGCCCAACGCCCGACGGTAAAACGGCAAAGGGGTAACTGAGTACGGGACAGGTATCTCTCTAATCGACCTCAACGAGTATATCAAACTGTTATCCACACAATATGCTCGAAAAGGTAAATAACGCATGAACGATATCGCCGGCGGGGCGGCAAAAATACCAATATTGACGCCAGTAGACATTCACCATCAATACGCGGACTTGCCTGCCCTCTGTGATGCATTTCAGCAGGAGTCCGGAAAGTCAGACATAAGCCTTCTCCTTTACCTAGATATGCATTGCTTCTATACTGGGCGTTCTCAGTAAACTCGGCATGGACTTCCTGGAGAGGTAGAACTGACAGAGACAAAAAGACTGGAACAGTCATTTCGGCTGCCGTTATCAGCCAGCCATACATGCGAACCAAATCTCGGCTTATAAACAAACCAGAAATGACCACCCTGCTCTCCCTTGTCACTGTTGGTACTGCTTCTCGAGCACTGGTTGCTTGTCCATAAACACGAGTCTGTGAGGACTTTAGACCGGAGACCAAAGGGTAAGTGAAACGCCCACATTCCCCTGAAATCAATATAAATTGGTCAACGCCACTCCCGCACGACTTTACACCGTCGGTGAAAAGTGAGTATGCCGGCTGTAAACAGGAGTGTACGGCGGTGGTTAAGGGCTAGTGCAGACTCGACGAAGTCCGGCAAACTTTGTCAGCGAGACTCCTCTTTGGAACAACGTATCTGTCACACATTGAGGGTTAGCATGTGTGTGTACGTATGGCGTGCTTTGGACGGAGGCTTTCACGCCGCGTTAACTACTGCGTACAATCGCATTATTGGTAGACTCGCAGGTCGCTGATGAATTGAGCAGGAAAGAGAGAGAGAGAGTGAGGTTGATACTGAGGAATCCATGCTCACGACATGCCGAATAATTCTTCACCATAATCACACTGACACGTTTGAATTTACCGCGGCACACTATCAGTTGTAGTTTAGACGGTCGCCAGATGACCGGGGTCAACTTCAGGGCTGAGGGTAAGACTGCAGTGGTCTTCTTAATGCGGTAGTTATGGACCTCTCAATTATGAGAGATCCAGAGCTCCCTTTACTGGGACGCGCGTGGCATGTGCAGACGGGGTGTTCAGATTTGCCAGTTAGTGCGCACATGCCGACCTCCACTTGTTCTGATTTTCCATCGCTATCGAGACGGGGCAGGTTTGAGAGGGAGTGAGGTAGGTGCGGTGAAAGCCTGCCGCATGATAAACTAATTTGCGCACAAGTAACTGCTGCGCGAAGAACATCATCACCTGTAACAACAAAACTGTCGTGCGTGTATGTTCACATCTGCATGGTGTACTAAATGGCGGCTACCGCAAAGTTTGACGAGCGTGACCCTTCGTTGTGGAGCTAAATGGTTGTTTTAAATGGTGCCGTTCCGGTTGTCGCAGCAAGATCTGCGGACAACTGACCAACGGAGTCACCCTAGGATAGAACACTAGAAGGCACACAATGGGAGAAAAATAACCTAAACCTTCTTTTACTACCTTGGTTTCCATGGCTTTATCAATTAGCTAATTGGCCCAAGCTTGTCTTTGGACTGCCATGCTCGAAAAATAGCGAAATACCTAGCTAAACACAAGGGCACAGGGAGATAGGGTGAGCAAAAACCGATTACCATAGAGGTTTTTGTAACTGGATATTGCAGTGGGAAGTAAGAGCTGGCCGTATACTCACCAATGAGCATTTCATACATGATGACGCCCAAGGACCACCAATCACATGAGGCACTGTAGCCTTTTTGTTGAAAGACTTCGGGGGCGATGTAGTCAGGGGTACCGACAGTGGAATAGGCCTGATAGTAAAAAAACAGTATATATGAGGATTAAAGCGGTAGCAGTGAGTTTCTAGAATGGTGAGCAACACTTTGCAGAGCGAACTAACAAAGCCACATGGTCATGCGACTCGCAATCAACAACCACATATCCGATCGGGAAGTGACCAATTGCCTTAGTAAGTAGAAAGGGCGTCGACAAAGACTGTCCGTGTTTGTCTGGCCAACTCTAAGTTGCTAGGCAACTGAAGACGCCCATTTTTGGACTTTGGAGGCTGGCTTCCCGATTCGCCGTCAACCGTATAGGCGAAGTACAAAAATAGTTAAAATTAAACGTCCGTTACAAAATATTATACAGCTGGTTGACTTTTGCGCCAATGTGCCTTCATTGCATCTCGTCATCCAGTCAAGATCGATTTAGTTCGACTCCATGTATCCATGATGCATGTCTCATTTGGGTTCATTATCTCCAGGAATTTGCGTCTTCTCCTTGTTGGGCAAGGGTCAATGGAGTGGGGTCTTTGCCAAGCATGTATATGTCGAGTTTGTGCATGGAAACTTGAGATACATGGTCTCTTCTTATTATGACTATTTGGCGTTCCTGTAAACAGGCTTAGACAAACATGCTGGTTTCGCCACAACTGGTGCATAGTACTTTGCAGAGCATTACCTTCCTATGCGAATAAACAACCCAGTCATTAGGGTATACAGGCTGGGAACGTAAAGCGGTAGACTATTGAGCCATCTCCACCTGATATTATCTCAGCGCTCTTTGGAAGAGTTTAGGCACCAGCCGCATGCCGAAGTTAATCAGAGCCTCGCTACCATCCAAGCTCTGTCGGGTATTCATTGCGAAAGAATAGGCGCACTCTGATCTGCCTGCTTTCCAAAAACCAGACAGCTTTTAACTTCGTGGTAGGGATTACGAATAGGCGATCAGCTACTAGACGTAAAAGCGACCAAACAGATTATAGCAAAGGTAGACAGAGAAAGAGAGTGAAACAGCCAATTGGTGCCGCCAACCTGGGGGAGCTTTAATCTATCGAGCACACATGAACGTTGTTGTATACTATAAAAAACTGTTCTACGTATCGTATAGATTGTGGACACGTAAAAAGTAAAACGACCAACGATCGAAAAATGGTCCCCAGTTTTGTTGCCTCATATTCACAGTATCACTTAATAGGATTTTTGTTACATGAAGGAAAGCGACAGAAGGATTCCAATTCATAATTTCACGCTCGAGGCTATTTCGACTCTGAAGATATCCAAAAGCAGACGACAAAGACAGCAAAACGCAGAAAATTCTTAACTTGTTCGTCGCACTGTTGAAGTTGAGAAGCGACGGGTGCAAAAATCGTCAGGGTGGTGCTTGTTATTCATTACCGGAGCTAATAGAATGACTGACACAGACAGGGGGAGTAAGCTGACAGACAGAACAGCGACTTACCAGATGCCGTCGATTCTTTTTCCAGCTCTCAGCCCGGCTGTGCGAGTCGGCTATGAACAAAAAAGTGAAAAAAAGATAAACATAGAAAAGGAAACACATCCAAGGAAGGCGCGTTATTTTGGCCAAAAGGGGGGGACGATTATACAAAACTTACTGGGAATGAGCAGCTTAGATATGCTCATTGAAGGGCCGACTAAAGTCTTAATCTTCCGACGCACGCGAAATGTGAGAAAGTATGGTAGAAAACGGTCTCGAGTGAAAAGTTGGGCGCGAAACGACTCAACGTAGCAGAATGTCAGTAACCACATATTTTCAATCTGGACCCCCGAGAAGTAAATCAGAGCCAGGGTGGGCTATTTGGAGTGGCATTGGCCTTGAGCAAACATTCGGAGTATAACGCTAGCACAAGCCACAAAGGACATGGAGTGATGTAAACAGCGTTTAACGTGGGTCTATGTAGACTGTGCGCAAGATTTTGCACGAAACAACAGTCCTGACCAGCTATGTCTCGGTGACTGGAGTCTAGTTCAGGGACTTTGCAACAAGTACCTACGTGGCAGATGCAGGCGAGAGTCGATGTCTGGACAGTCATTGCACCCACCAACATCCTTAGTCACTTTAATCTTGCCTTGTCATTGGGACATGATAAACGCAGGCAGAACGTGCGGCTGGTAAAACGAAAGTCTTCCCCACAATACTGAATGTCATGCGACCACTGAGCCAATTGTGAGTTCTGCTGGAAACCACCCACGAACTGCCGGATACAAGCAAAAGTCGCGTGCTATTCGCAAGCGATATATCGCGTCCGTTGACGACTATAATTAGCGCTGTACCCCACGTACAACGAAAAATTGCACCTTCAGAGCCTCAGTTGCAGATCTTCAACAGCCGCATAAAGCACAGGGTCCATGGTACTTAACGAGCATTTACTTGATCAGGAGGAGAGAAATAAACTCCTGATCACCATATTTCGCAGCCAGACTGTGTGGAATATGGGTGGGGAAATTTTCACTTCCTTACAAACCGTTCCGCTCGTTCCGCCTTTCGTGGAGATGGGTTTTCCAACTCTCGCAAAGTGTAGGCCAGCTGAGCCCCATCAACGCTGTGTGTACGTGCGCGGCCTTGATCTCGTGTGCGCACTCGTATGTAGTCATGAAAATAGCGCGATGCGTGGCTGACTGGCGACCAACCACAAGGACAGGACGGCAAGTCAGATGGGTCACGTGTAAAAACCCTGACGTGCCGTTCAGTTCGTCTGCACTAATTACACTACTTGGTGAGGCGATGGCGAGTACATGCGCAAGGAGTGAGCGAGCTGGTCTTAGAGACGAAACGGGCAGAAAGTGAGTGCGTTCATTTACATGAGGGAAGGCGGAGCTGACAAAAACCACGCAACTGAGCTAATCAGCAAGACATGGCGTTGGTCGGTGACAGGTGCGTACGGTCTCCGATAGCGACTCTTTAAAAGGGCAGAAAAAAAAGATTCCTCCCACTAGCTCCACACAAAAGTACTCAACCTGAGCATAGAGGTGTTTCAAATTTATGCACGCCAGGGAGGGAATACAAATTTACCAATTCTGCATCAAATCGATTCAAGTGAGTTATTGGTTCATCCGGTATCTGCGTGGGAATATTTTCACCCAACTACAAATGTCATACTGGCGCGAAATGAAGACTTATGTGATGCGAAATTCTTCATTAATTTTCGATGGCTATAAAAATCTGAAAGATGCACTGAAAAATCATTTTGCCCCAATGTTACGCGAAAATTATGTCCCTGGGGGACAGATGTCTCGGTTTCAAAAAGTTTCCGATTATAAGAAACGTCCGAGACATCTAAATGATGATTCCAGTTGTATGCTACCTACGTGCTTATTTATTTTGCCATCGGCGCATGCGATGCACGTCCACTGTAGGATTTCAAGAGCGTTAGGAAGTCCCTGTCCAACATCGCAATGGGATATATGAGTTTGTTTAAATAAGAGATGCACAATGCATAATTTAGAAGCCAAAAGATAAATACGACAAAGATTAG